GCTTCCTGGAAGGCCATAAGGTACCCCTACCAGTCTCCTCCTCTGAGGTCCTTTATGATACTAAGCCCCACATCAGAATTAAAAGAACCGCTGTTAACAGTTATAAAATACTAAATATAGTTCAGTATATTTAAAAATGAACAATGGTAAAAGCCTTGAAAATTTTTTCTTTGATGTGAATGGAGTCTTTGGCATTTGGAAATACAATAAGATGAATTAATTGCTACTCATTAGGCGGCAAGTCAGGAGAAGTATGAATGTGGCTTCTCTCCTCTGCATTAGCGGCTGCCTGACCAGAATAGCCCCCTTTTGTATTTACTCCTGCCTTCTCTAATAATAAGCAAATTAGAGATCATGGCTAGAAAAAATTCAAGTGCCCTCTGTCCTTTCTCTAAAACCATCATATAGTTTAGTGATGTTTATCTGCGCCAGGGTTATGGCTGATAATTGCAGAGGGCATGTCAATCCGCATAACACAAGGTTAGAAAAAATTACTTCTTAGGGAAATATTTTTTATCTTTTTCTGAAAAAGGTGACTTTTCAAGCAAACTTGCATCATACTTTTGTATTTGGTTTTATATTACTGTATATTCCAAATGTAGTTTTGGAATGACCTCCCACCCCCACCTGCCACCCTGTGTTGCTGGGAGTTGAACTCAGGGCGTTGTGCATGATAGGCAAGTGCTCTCCCAGTGAGCCAGATTCCCAGCCCTTGAGGCAAACATTTCATAGCTATCATAGTTTTTTTTTTTTTTTTGTCTTTATATGTTTTTCCTGATATGTTGGTTGGCTTCCATATGAATAAATTTAATTGGAATCTTTAAACTTTGAAATGTTGGCCCACGAATAAACTGTTTGGATACGCTGGTTTAGTATGCTATTCATTAACATTCCATATATGGCAGCTGTGATATCTTGTATATGCAAGCCTGTGACCTTTTTATATTACCTTTAAAATTTGTCTATGGTTAATGCCTAAAGAGTATGAGGTAATTGATATTGCAGGATAATCAGAAGCTGGGAAGGCAGGGAGGAGAAGGGAAGATAAGACCCTCCTGATATCCAGTCTGATCCCTAAGATGTCCTGTTGTTCTGAGAGTACATGCCTGCCTGTCGTGGATCCTTGTGGGAGAGCCGTCCCCTGGGTTCCAAGCAGGCATTTCCAAACCCTGTGTCCACTGCAGTCCTGCAGAAGGAGGCTGTCGGGGAATAGGCAGAGCAGCAGCCCTGCTCTGCTTCATGAAATATGAAAGCCTGTTTACTTAGTAACAATAACAATTTGAGAAGCTTCAGGCTGAGGAGTTTCTGTCTGACCACAGCCTGCTGGACCGTGAGGCCGGGGCAGTGAGGCCATTGATGGCCCTGTGAACCAGAAATTGGATTGTGAAGAAAGAAGGGTCGGTAATGAGACATGCATCCTGGACAGAGTGCTTCATCTGCCCTCATTCTCAGGTCGCTTGGACCACTTGTGCTTAGAAGTACAGCCCACCCACTTTCCTATCAGCAGTCTAAAGATTCACAATTTCTGCCCTTAAGTGTTTCTCGTATTGCAGATCAAGGCATCAAGTTAGAGTTCATCTGGAAGATGGTGACTTGCCATTTCTTTCCTCAGTTCCCATTAATCATTTTGTGGCTTTATTCTTTGTAATCTTAAGAATAGAGGGTCTAGAAATCAGTAATGGAGGAGGCATTGTGAACTTGTCCAAGCCTTTTTCTAGCACACGGTTTTCTTCCCTTGCTCACATATGTACACACACGATACTCAAAGAGTATTTCCTGTAATCTTGGACACTGAGGATTCTAACCCTATAGTGACTTAATCGCAGATTTTCAAGATAAATACCGTGGGCTCATCCTTCACAAATCTCATCCACATCTCAGAAATGTTGGTGTGAATACATCTCAGGATAAAGTTAATTTGGGGTGCAATGTAGCACACACTTTTAGATGTTGTTAAAACCTTACTTATTGAATAGATTAATCCCTTTCCCTTTAGCAGGATGACAAGAGGAAAGGATAAAGTTGAATGTGTAAAAGGCCGGGATGTAAGACCAGAGTGACAGAGGGAAGCTATTTACTGGGGTCTGACACTTACAGTTATAAATTTTCTGAAGCCAGGCATGTGTCTCTGGCTGAAAATGACAATTGAGAGATCCATCCATTGAATCTCTTAGCCTGGCATCCTCCAAACTCCCCTTTCAGGATAAGTGGGTCTGCAGCGAGCCTCTTGGTTCTCATTTCCAGGTAGCCCTGGCTGTGCTTATTATCCATCTGCAGGGTTACTTTAGATTTTAAACAAAAAAATTAATCCTTTTAATTTTCACATCTATATCATAGATAAAGGATTGATGCTATAAAATTAAATGAACAGAGCAGATCCACTACAAAAGGTAGGAAATCACGGGCATAGACATTTTAGTCCATTTGCAGAAAATTGCCTATTCTCCAATAGGTAGGTCAAGTGCAGAAAGAACCACTACTTGAGGTGAAATTTCCATTCCACACTTGGCTTTCTCTCTATTAGGATAGGCAGCCAAGAGCTGCCTAAATGTTAACATCTCCTGTCCTCACACTAGCATTTTTTTTGTTGTTGTTGTTGTGGCTAAATGTATTTAGATGTATTTGTTTATAAGGGAATGTACCCTCTTAGGTAAACATACTTTTAGAACCATTAGAGAATAAAATGTGTCTTTTTGTTTAGTAGATGAGGAAAATCTCAGGGTGTGAAATGACTTGTCTAGGTAACCCAGCCCATTTATGTCATTTCCCCAGCAGGTGCACCCTTCATCAGAGAGCATGTGGATGTGGTCAAAGTGATTGCCCACCTGCTTTTGAACTCTTGTTTTCATTAAGTACCTGGTGCAATGCTTCGTAATAAGAGAGTCAAACTTTAAACAAAAGCAAAACATCATGTTCTGCAGCTGGGTGACACACACACACACAGCAAAGATACTTTTCTTCTTTCCCACACTGACTGATTTCCCTGGTGCAAACAAGATGAGCTTTTGTGAAAATTTTCAAGAGCTTTTCAGTAAGCCAAGCAAAGGGAACCATCTCATGGAACCCTTAATAGAGAAGGGTTACGGAGATACAGAGAACTATTTTACACTTGGACCTGGACTTTCTATTTGTAAGTTTCCTCACCCAAGTATGCCAAACATCTTGTAGTTGGGCAAGAAGAATCCCTGTCACCAGCATAAACACAGACCACGCATGTCTGTGAGAGGCCCTGGGACCTTTTTTTGGAATAGATCCAAACCCACAGCTCTTTATTTATAGCTTGTCAGTCTTCAGAATTCACGTCAGTCAGGTGGAGAGAAGTTGTCCAGGTTGCTGTTTTCCAAGCTCCCCTAGCTTGGGCCCCAGAGGAGTTGCAGGGCATGTTGTGGGCTGAGGAAGGCTCCTGTGGTCACACCTGTGCCATTACCTCAGTTTCAGAAATCACTTTGAAAGCATTTGCAACTTCTTATAAGGGCTTAAGAGGCTTGGGGGCTAGAGTCCAAAGTGACTGATCCAAAGAGAAACCAACAAGTGTGGGTTGATGTCAAGGTGTTCTTGCCTCTGAATGGAGTAGGTATGACTGGATGGGCCAGGGAGCAGGTGAAGCCACAGGACATTTAAAAGTGTATTGACAGGCACTGACATCCATTTCTGTTGGGCCCAGTTCAGCTCTAGGGCATGTGCACCCTCCTAATCAGTTTATTATAAAATTTCATCAACTTCAAGACTTCCCCCCCTCTCCCGGTATTCTCACAATGTGAGATGTTTTAGGTGTTCTTTGTTGTTGTTGTTTGTTTGTTTTAACTTAAAAAAAAAAATACTCGAGGAAGCTGGCTTCAGGTGAGAGCATTTGGCGAGTTAGCAAATGGAGCTTTACCTGGAAGGATGCCATATGATGAAAAGAGATAACAGGCAACACTCTGAGTCACCGGGGTCCATTCCCACGGGGACTAGTAATCCTGCAAGCTTCCAGGGCTGCACAGTGTCATTTAGCTACAGCAGGTGCCATTGCAGATGTTCATAATGACCATGCACACTTCCAAAATGCTGTATTTGCAGCTTTTTGGTTTTTCAGTTGTGGGCCACAGAAATATATGAAATATAAAAATTCATGCAAGTGTTAGACTTTTCTTCTTCCTCTTTCCCCCCATCCCTCCTCTTTTCCAAGGATTAATATGAGCATTTTGAAAAATTCACGTGGTGTTCTTGGTGGTTATGGGGCAGAGTTGTGTCTATACCTTGGCAGTACCTAGTGGGTCTTTCTTGGAAGCCCCTAAAGTTGTTTAATTTTTGGTTTTTGTTTATTTGGTGCTGGGAATGGAACCCAGAGCCTCATACAAGCCAGGGAGGTGCTGTACCACCAAGCTACGTTGTTTTGTAGGCTCTGATTTCTTCAGTGTCCTCTTGGCCTTGCCTTTGGCTCCGCAGTGTGTTTATTCCTCACCTCTGGTGAGATATGTAAACATGGAAGCCGCCTCTCAGCTGGCACTCAGCGTCTTAGCCTGCAGCTGCCCGGTGGACCATCCCTCACTGTGAATTCTGAACGGGCAGCTGTGGAGGGCACACCCTTGATTATGGTGTTTCCATTTTGTTTCTGCCTTAATGGCTTCTGGTACTGGTATATAGACCCTCTACCTACAGCCCGGAACCTTCACATGCTGACCTAGTGCAGCCCTGCCAGCAGCAGTGGGGGCCTGTCATACATCACGGTCTCACCATTGCTCCTTCTATCCTGGGGAAGCATAGGACCAGCATGAAGGAGTGGGGGGAAGTTTTTTGATTGTTGTTGGGCACTCTTGTTGGTGATGGATTTTCTAGAGAGCCATATAGATCATACATTTCTCCTAAGATATGGTGAGGGGTGGGAATGCCAATGCTCCTCTACGTTTTATTGTATCCAAGAATTGTGTTTGTGTACATATATATTTTTTACTGAAGAAGAAAAATAATCCTGCCTTTGTACGCAATCCTTTTAACAAATTGTTTATTGTTGTATCCAGGTAACAAGCATGGTAAGTATTTTCACCAAACTGAGTATTCTGTATTTTAGCTGTGCTTGGCAGACTTTTTTTTTTTTTTTGGCTAGCTTTGTGTTACCAGTCTTGGCTTTTCTAGAAAAACTCATTTGGGAAAAGGAGAAACCACCCACCTGTAGTGTCCCTTACCTCCTGAGCTTTTGTAAGAAGCCATGTAGCCTTAGACCCACGGCGGGGATACTCGAGAAAGCATGCGCCCCGCCAGCATGCTGCTTGGCTGGTCCCCCTTGTCCACCCCGCTGCTTCTGAACTATCCCCACCAGGTGTCTGCCAGGGCTCCCCGGCCTCGCATGACCCCAGCAGCTCCTGGGACTGTGGCCCTGTGACAGCCGGCACACACACAGGCTCTCCACGCTCTCTGGATGATCCTGCCCCCAGTTTATGGCACATTTCTTCTCTGCTCCCCTCATCTGTGTACTTAAAAGCAGGGCCTCTCCCACTGGACTCCCCTCTGTGTTAAGTAATTGGAGAAATCTCCTTCTGGAAGCTGAAAAAATAAATACATTGTCTACTCTTCTCAAAGGCTTCCCCGTTCTGTTAGAAAATGGATTCAGATTTAAAAAAAAAACACACCTCTCCATTGGGTGTTTTCCGCGAGTGTTCAGCGTCACGTTAGTGGAGCGTGTTCCAGCCTCCTGGCCGTGTTCATTTATCCATGCATGTCTGCTTTCTCGGCCTCTTTTGTGGCTCTGTATTTTAGTCCATGTGCTCATGGCTGTGGCTGTCTAACCTGCCTGGTAGCCGTGCATTCTGTATTAAAAGTCAGTGTGTCACTGTCACCTTCAAGGATCAGACCGCAAAGGACAAGGCCCTGCAGCACATGGCAGCCATGTCATCAGCCCAGATCGTCTCCGCCACTGCCATTCACAACAAGCTGGGGCTGCCTGGGATTCCACGCCCCACCTTCCCAGGGGCACCGGGGGTAAGTCAGCAGCCACGTCTGGGAAGGAGAGCTGCTCTGGACGCTGGGTGGGTGCGGGCCGGCCCCCTCCTCCTGGCACTTCTTACCAATTGGGTCAAATATAGAAAGGATAAAGACTTCCTTGTGGTGAACTGAGATGCTGGGTGTAAAGTGGTAAGAGAAAGGCAGGGAGGGAGAGCCGATAGGAAGGAGGAGTGGAGGAAGAGCAAAAGCAGGTGGGAAGCAGGAGGGGGAGAGAGGAAATCCTTAGTCCCTGCAGATGTGGAAGTAAGTATCACTTTTCTGGTGTAACCTGCCTCTTCTGCACTCTTTTTTCTGGCTCATGGTCCTGTCCCTGTGACCTCAGGGTTACTGTGTGAGCTCGTCCCAAAAGGGACAACATATTCCCTTGGTCTTTTCATTTCGACACCTACCAAGGGCTGAGAAGCATTATGTCATAATCTCGTTGTACCTTACAGTCATAAAAGCCTCTTGCTGTCATTGCCATTTTACAGATGAGAAAGCTGAGGTTGCTAAGTAGCAAGACAAGAGCTAGGTCACAGGCAGATGCACAGTTATGCCTTTTCCCTTTATCTCATGATGCCTTGGGCTGGGGAATGGCAGGTGCAGAAGGCCTCAGGGACGCCGGCAGCAAAGCAGTTGCCCTGATTCTTCTCTGAGCTCCTGGCCCTCTTGTTGCAAGCTTGATCCACTGCTCCACCGGGCCTTGAGTGCTGGAAATCATGGAGGCAGAGTAGTACACAGGGAGTGCTTCAGAGCAGAGGGAGAGGAAGATTGGGTGCATGCATGGGCAAAGTGGTCCCATCCAGTGCTCTGTTGAGTGGCACAAGAGCTCTGAAGAGCAGCCACTTGTCCCCTTCCCTCAGAAGGATTTTTCAAGACAGAGGTGCTGGGGGAGTCCTGGGTGGCAGTTGAGGGACAGTGATGACCACATATGCACTTGGGGAGGTGATGCTGCTGCTGGTGGGTGACTGAACCTGCTGCCCTTCAGCAGGGGCTGCAGTGTGTTTGCATCCTGTGAACTCGCGATCCTGAAGCCTTTGCCTTTTGTCTTCCAGTTCTGGCCTGGAATGATACAAACAGGGCAGCCAGGATCCTCCCAAGAGTAAGTTTCAAGAGGGCCACAGACAGCAGGGTTAGGGTTACCAGGGTACCTTTGGGCTTTGCAGAGAAAGGAGAGTAACTGCGATCCTTAGTCATGACCTCTCGGATTCAGAAGAAGTGTAAGCCCATCACTTCTGTGTGGAGGTCCTACAGATGGAATAGGAAGTGGGTTCCTGTCCCTTTATGGCTTTAGGAATAGGAAATGGGTCCTTGTCCCTTTGTGGCCTTGGAGGGCAGAGCATGGGCCTTCCTTGCCTGAAAGAGGGCAGCAGAGGTGATTCTGTAGCCCTTTCCACTCTGCTTGCCCAGTGGTAGTGCCTGTGTGGTGCATGTGTGTAGGGGGTGTCTGTCTAATAGAAAAATCCTGCAGATGCCTTGGGGGCAAGGGAAGCAGGCTCAGTCAACCAGAGGATAAGGGCAATTTGGGGCTAAAAGGTGGAGGCAAATCCAACCTGTGCATTAAGAGAACTTGACTGTTTGGCCTGAAGAAGGAGAGCCTGAAGCATGTCCTAAACCTTGCCTAGACACAGTGCCTGCTGACCTCTGTTTTTTTAGGGATGAAGAGAGGTTCAGAGACAGATGTCACAGTGCACAAGAGTCAGGCTGACGTCTGTCCAGCAGGTGCCACTGAACTGGCACAAGGCCTGGTGGTTGGATCCTCAGCAGGCTCCCCGCAGGCAGGGACTAGAGTTGGGGGGTCCCCATTGGGAGGCCAAGGCCAGGCCTGGGTAGGGGCCACTGCTGCTTCCATGATTTCTGATTCTTGGCACCCGTTTGTCCCCAGCGTCAAGCCCTTCGTGCAGCAGGCCTACCCCATCCAGCCAGCGGTCACGGCCCCCATTCCAGGTGAGTCTCCCCGTTCTCCCTCCTGGGGGAGTCAGTAGCCTCCACAACCAATGGCCAGGCCTGTTCTCAAGAGGGGTGATGCTCTTCTTTGTCACTGCTGTAGGTTTCCTGTCACCTGTGGAAATTTGCCTGCCCCTTGCATTCCCACCTCCTGTAGGGTAGGGGTCAGAATGGAGTTCGGGAGGGTCACAGAGGAGTCCCCGGCCTAGTCCCGAATAGCTTCAGTCATCTCCCAAGAGCACTTCAGATGGGTTTGTGAAAAACAGGAAGCCTGACCACTTTCACTGAAGATGCTAGCTCACCCTCAGGTGAGGACGTTGATGCCCGTCCCTCCTCACCACGAACTGGCTGTGTTGGGCCGTCCACATCCTCAGCACAGATAGTTTTCCTTGCCCTTTCTTAGATAACATAGATTTCAATTTCTGCTGCACTTTTTGTGAAGGAGCGCTTGCACAGAAACCAAAAGTAGTAAACAAATCTGGTTGGCCCCCTCTCTACCCCGCTGCCACCACCACCCACCACCGTGTGCACCTAGTTGAGAAGTACTTGTGGTGTGGTACAAAAATCATTGCTCAACACCATAGATGCCCCACACCAAAAATGTATCCACACATTGTCCTCTGCTCCAACACTGCGGGGCACCCCGAGGGAAGATTCTAAAGTGCTGGCCACCACAGTCTTAACAAAGAAGATGGGGGGGTGGGATTGTGGCTCAGTGGTAGAGCACTTGCATAGCACGTGTGAGGCACGGGGTTCGATCCTCAGCACCCCATTAAAGTGAGTAGATAAAGTAAAGGTATTTTGTCCATCTACAACTAAAAAAAAAAAAAAAAATTAAAAAAAAAAAGATGGGTAAACAAAAGAAGTGCACAGCACAGCCTGTCTCCCAGGATGATGTCTTTGAAAACATTCCCTTGGAATTGTCAGCCATTTTTAGCTTGGTCTCTAGCTGGGCCCCTTTATCCAGGATTTGAAGTCCTTCTGCCACAGTCCTTAACCCCTTCGCTAAATGTGGCTTCTTGTGTTATGCTTGTCCAGCTGGTCACTGTCTATGAGAGCCTCAGCCAGAATGTCACCCCTGCCCAGCTGAGTTCTGCCCCCTAGACCCGGGTGGGAGGACACTCTCGGCCTTTCCTTCTAGATCACGTTTTGTGGAGTCCTGCCCCAGTACCATCCTGAGGCCAGGGGAAGCCAATGGCCAGGTGTAAAGGTGACCATTGGTCTTTCAGGGTTTGAGCCTACGTCAGCCCCAGCTCCCTCGGTCCCTGCCTGGCAAGGGCGTTCCATTGGCACAACCAAGCTTCGCCTGGTGGAATTCTCAGCTTTTCTTGAACAACAGCGAGACCCGGACTCGGTGAGTGCGCCCCAGAGGTGTGTCTTGATCCAGGACTTACTTGCGTCTCCATCTTGTTCATCTTCTCGCTTCTCTGTCTTTTGTCCTTCTCTTTCCCTGGTACCTGTCATATTGATGCCCTGTGTGAAGCCGACTTGGAGCAGCCCAGCCACTTCCCCTCTAGGAGAAGGGCATTCCTCCTGGCAAGTGGTAGAACTCCAGAGCTGGGTGTTTATTGCTGCTTACACCATAGTTTTCTGGGGAATACTTAAGCTGAAAGGGACAGCCCTTTATAGGCTCTTGTGCCTAGTAAAATTTAACAACAGGGGACATTTATTGAGCCCTGCCATGTGGCTAGCACCGTGCGAAGGTATTTAGGTATTTGATCACATTTTATCTTGTAGAAGCACCGTGAGGGGAGAACCGCCTGGCACATGAGGAAACAGAAAGGCTGAGCAACTTCTCCAAAGTTACCTTGTTGAATCCGTGGGTCAAAGATTCAAACTCAAGTCTTTAAAAATTTCTCAAGTCCAAGTAGTCATTCTACACTACTTTTCCAAGGCTGTGTTTTCTCAAAATAGCAAGTTGCTATCTCCTGAAGGAAAAGTCACAAAGTGGTACTTTTGAACAGCTTCACATAGAATGCAGTGCATTTTAATATTGTAAATACCAGTACCACTGGCATCTGGACTCTATTTGTCATCTTTCTCTCCCCGCCCCATCTTGTACCCATCATCCCATCGTTTCCCATACATATGTGATCCTCCCTTCCTTTCCACCCCACGAGCCCTGTACCCTTTCTCCACACCCACTCCTTGGCTGTGCTTATAAGCCTTGCATCTGTGTGTGGGTGAGTCCAAAGCAGAAATCAAAGGAATCAGGAGTTTGTCTTTGGGATCCTCACCAATTCCTTTCTGCATTCTCCCTCTCCCCCTCCCACCCATCCCGGGGGCTACCAAAAGCATGTACGTCCCGGGCTCGCTGAGTGTTGCCAATGCTGCTGTCATTCTCTCAGGAAAATATGTCATGCAAGCAGTCACAGTCCGTGCTAAATAACCAGGATCCTGAGCAATTGGAAGGGCCTTCCAGGAAAGTTTGTGTTCTAGCTAGGTGGGAAGGCTCCCATGGGTGGGTGCGTAGGGATCTGCTGTGGACCAGAGGGACTTGGCAGCCATCACCAGAGCAGGGACAGGACAAACCCATGTGTGGCCCACTGATGTCCCCATCCATGAATCCTGAACCCTAATTGTTGGTGGAAAAATAGAATTGCTTCTATGTTAGGGGAAAAATAAGGGGAAAGATGTAAAGTAGGTCATTGAGCCCATCAGGGAAGTGGGACCAGGGTCAGAAGAAGTGGTGCTGGGGGTTAAAATCCATGTACATGGGGGCTTTAAAATAAATCAAAAGAATGGTAACCCTCATGGCCTAGGCTTCCTCTTCTTGGCTCTTTGATGGAAGGCTGGGCTTTGGCCCTCTTTGACTGCTAGGACGCATGTTTGTGTGACTCCCTGGTGTTTACTTGGTGCTTCGTCTTCCATCCTTGCCTTCTGCCCTCACAGCCCCCCATGAGGTAGGTTCTTTTGGCTTCGTTTTACAGATAGAAACTGAGGCCCCAAACACAGCCTTCCTATTTAGAAAGTCTCTTAAATTTCCTGTTCAGTTCAAATATTGCCTCTCCAAGCAAATCTCTCTCTCTCTCTCTCTCTCTCTCTCTCCCTCTCCCTCTCCCTCCCTCCCTCCCTCTCCCTCTCCCCCTCCCCCCTCCCTCTTTCTGCATATGGTCATTTATGTTTTTTAAGGACAGTGTTCTAAGGTGCTTGGAAGTAAAAGCCCCAAGATGATTTTACCCCTGGTATCACCATCAAAAATATATATATATATATTCTTTTAATTAGAGGAGAATCTGGTAACCCCCTTCTTTTTGCTACGTTCTCCAGTTGTGGATCTTGTTTTTGTTCCTAGTTGTGATGTTGGCCTTGACATTTTTGAACCGCTGACAGATTCCTTCAGTCTATTCTATCCAAATTCACATGCATCTACAAGGAGAAGGGGCTGCAGAGAAGAGGGGCCACTGCCACTCAGAGAGCCACAGCCTGTGCCCTGGTGGGCTGTAGTGCCTGGTGCGAGACAGACAGTTACATGGGAGAGCTCTGTGACATTTGGTGGCTGCTAGGAAGGCAGGGTACTAAATGCCTGAGTGAGGGACAGACCAGGCCTGCTAGAGGATGTGACCCTCAAGCTGAGAGGTGGAGGATTGGACAAGGAAAGAATAAGGCACCAGAACATTATAGAGATGATGAATCTGAAGTATTTAAAGCAATAAATGAAATTGGTGACTATTTTAATAATTCCAGAGCTCACCAAATTTCAGTGTCCAGAAATACATATTTTATGCATGTTCAGAATGACGTCTACCAATCTGAATGTTGAAACTAGATTTAGAATTTTTGTTTAGTTAAAAAAGAAAAAAGTTGGTTAGATATTTAGGTCCCCAACAAGTGATTTCAAAGGTACTTAAATAAATGGAAGGGCTGGTGTGAGTCAACACCCTTGGGCCCCTTGAGGAAATAATTATTCTATTTATGAGTTGGGAGCCAGGAGAGATTGGAGCCTTTTGAACTACTACTTGCCAACCAGTGTATCAGGCACTGGGGATCCAGCAGTGATGGAAACTAAATTCTTACTGTCTGGAGCCCACACTGTTAGAGAAGGCAAACCACCATGCAAAAAGTACATGTGTAGACCTTCATGGGGTCTGCCTCCATGGGGCATGCCAGAACCCACAGGTACTCCAGTCCCCTGTGTAAAATGGAAGAGGATATGCATATAACTGACGTGCGTCTCCTGTACTCTAAATCATCTCTAGGCCATTTATATTATCTAATACCTGTCAGTGCTATCTAAGTAGCTCTTTAATTGTTAAGGAATGATGACAAGAAAAAAAAAAATTGTTCATGCCAGGACAGATATTTTATTGTTTGGGGGTTGTATTTTCAATCTGCAGTTGGTTGAATTGAGGATGTAGAACCCATGGATACAGAGAGCCAACCAAGTAATGGTGATTGCTAATATGAGATAACAGACCTTCCTTGAATTAGAAATCTTTGAAAACAGTGATACCATCTAATACATGTGTTGATATTTATGATTTGTATTATGATACTAAATTATATCAAATATTACCAATCAAAACCATCATACTACAACCTTAATCTACAGCCTTAATCTCAGTTGTGGATATCGCTTTGATGATATGAGCACTTATTTTGCAGTTGAACACAAATGAGTTAAAAGTATGCGAATGAGTACAGGACAGGTCAGAAACAGGGTATGTCTTTGGTTTTAGTGGAAATATGAGAGCCTGAAGGGGGTTCTACTGCTAGAAGAAAGTAGTGGTTGGTTGACTAATTGAAATGAGGAAGAATTATCAAAATTATTGAAAGCTTTTGACACATTCTCAGGCACCAGTCTCGCATCATATAATGCATTCTTGACTTAGCATATCTCTAGTGCTCTTACAGTAACGGCATAGTACCTCAGGACCAAGGCTGTGCTAAAATGCTGATGTGTGGATGCTTTCTTTGGCTTTGAGATTTTTTTGTGACTCCCTGGACATTCGTTTACTATATTTTTGTTCCATTAATAGGAAAATTAAAGCCATCTAAAATATTCAGCTGGTATGTTTTTTTTTTAAAGTTGGATATGCTATAGTTAAAATTTAGGAATCAATATTAAGCTATTGATTTGATAAGGAAGACAAAAAAGTGACTAATAAATGAAAGGACGCTGAACAATCTAAACTTCACTTTTGGATTCTCTAAATCCAGGCAGACACATATATACATTACACATTTCTTCTCTATTTCTTGTTGGTGGCCTAAGCTCATTGGGATCATGGAGTTACTAGGTTGTTTTGTTTTCAGTTGTGTAAGTGGAAGAAAGATTGTAGGTATTGTGGGCAACGAAGAAAGAAGCCGGGAGCAGTGAGTCTTGTAATGCTTGTCACACTCTCTGTGAGGGACTAGTTCTGTTCCCTTCTACAGAAAAGCTTGGAGAGATTGCTGTCTTGGAGCTAGTGGCAGTCAGCTCAAAGCCAGTGTCCTTTATGATCTCCAAGAGAAGACACAACTGCATACCCACGTCCTAGGTGTGAAGCAAAGCCAAGAACCTAGCTTGCTTCCTCCTCCGCCTAGGACTGCTGCCCTTGGAGCCAGCATTTCTTGAAACTCATGTCTTTGACTGATTGCATACTTCATTATTGCTATCACTAAAGACTTCACGATCCTGTTACTTCTAGCAGTGTTAATACTGGTACTGGAACCCAGGAGTGGTGTTAGCCAACAGCTTTTAAATGTTGTTTGTGTGTGCCAATGCTATGCATTATCTCATTTAATCCTTATGAATTAGCTTGCCCGGTATCAGACAGCCATCTGATAATTGGAAATGGGATTCAGATCCAGGCCTGTCTTCTGACTCCACGTCCTGAGATTGTGACTGCAAGGCTGTTTGGTCCATTTGTATCTGAGGAGTGGCCTGTTTTTGTCACCCAAGGCTATAAGAAGCTAATGGAAGAATAATCAGGGGATGCTCGCCCCCTGCTGGTTCTGTGTCGTGTGTGCACCAGAAGGCCACTGCCTCCCCAAGTTGGTGTTGTTTTTGTTGGTAGAGAACCAGCAAGTCAGTCCCTCTGTTACCTTTGGCTCCAGTAGAAGCTAAGAGAAAAACAGCAGAGGGTGAAGAAAGGAAGGAAGAGTCTAAAAAACAAGGACTATTTTAGAAGTTGTTAGTAATGCTTGAAAATATACTTTGTACATGATTTTAATGTTGCCTATCAAAGGAACGTCAAGTGCTAAGTGCGGGATCCTCCACCCAGGGGTGGGTTATTTAAAAAGGCTTGGCCTGATATCAAGGCCCAGCTCTGGAGACAGTTGGGCAGCTGCTTCTTTATACACACACAAACTCATCTTGGGAAGCTAGCTGTAAGCTGCATCCTGTATGTGTCTGGAGAGCGGTTTTGCTGA